CCCCAAAACCCCAAAACCCCAAAACCCCAAAACCCCAAAACCCCAAAACCCCTATTTTTATCTCATAAATTGAAACAACCTAAATAACTTTTCTGGATGAAGTATTCGATGGCCTCTTCTTTTGAGCGGAACGATTGACATTCCCAATAGAGGATGCCTGGGAGCGTCCACTAGCTCTACTCATCTGTGACAGATTTGGGTTGAAATTAGCTTGTCCTCTCTTCAGAGAATTCTTATCTTTTCTCTGCTGACCTTCTATATCAGCCTTAGCATTTTGATAACGTTGGAACATTCTCTCAAGTTTCAATGCTCTTTCCTTTTTCTGTTCATTTTCACCTGCGATGATCTTTTTACGAAGGGATTCCATTTCTCTCTCTTGAGATTGGATAATCTTAGCTTCGTGCATCTCTATTCTCTTTTGTCTGTCTTCATAGTATCTCTCTCTTTCCTTTTGCTCTAGTTCCTGAGCCTCAATTTGAATTTTGTGCGCTTCTCGATACTCTTTTTGTCTTGCCAAGTTCTTTTGAGTTGAAATTAGAGATAGCAATTCTGGGGACTTTTTAAATCTATCTCCTAGCTTCTCTTCAAATTTGTCTCTTTCCTCCTGAAGCTGCTGGTCATGCTTTTCTTCAAGCCCTCTTATCATCTCGGAAGCATGAATCTGAAACTGGTTCATTATCTTATCCCATTCCTGATTGAAAGCATTAAACTCTTGGATATGGGTCTCTTCTAGCTCAGCAAGATCACTCTCATGCTGTAGTTGAAGATCTTCACTATCTCTATTCTTTAGCTGCTCCTTGAGTTCCTTGACTCGGTTCATAGCCATCTCAGCTTCAACATATTTTCCTTCTTCCTCGCATTTATTTTTGATGAGCTGAAAGTATTTCTATGTACTCTTCAAGAGAAGGCTCTTGGTTCTCAGCGTCTTCTTGCATTTCCTGTTGATACTTGTCTTCTTCAGCATAGTTGTCTCTAGTAGCGGCCATCTAACGATTTGGTCAGTAAAAATATTTACTAAAACTAATCTTGAAAGGGGTTTTGGGGTTTTGGGGTTTTGGGGTTTTGGGG